CCTCTTCCCGAACCTCTCAAAATTCCACAGCAAAAATACAAAAAATGCGAAATCCAATGCAACATCTTCCAAAAACTCGCCACACGACAATTTCCCAAAAGAAATTCAAAGTCAACGTCCTGAACAATTCCCAAAGCCCACAGATCATATCCAGCAACACCAGCATCCGTCAACCATGCCAGCAACATCCACACGGTTCCCACATTCACCGCAACGATACATCACACCTTTATCTACCCTTGAATATCGATCGTGCCACCATTCCTCTCCCCTTTCCTTTGCCTTCTCCTCTCTATCTGTTTCACCCTATAAGGATAACTTTATTTCCCCCTCGAAGTGAAACACACCTCTAGTATTCGCGACAGGGATCCATTTCGATCGGCGGACAACTTCTAATAACGTTATCAGAAGTTCACATTGAGCGTGGAAGACGGGGGCGAGCATGAGTTTCACGAAAGAGGGGCAGCACACAGCTTTCTACGGGAAACGCCAATGAAAAGGCGCCTATCTCTCTCTCTCTTACTCCCTCTGGTTCCGTTGAATGGCTGGTGTACGCATACCCGATCCGGTTACACGTTTGAAAGGGAAGTAATCACTTACTCGGGAGGAAGGGCATTTTCGCGATGGCATACCGCGCGCTTGAAAAGAGCGGCTGCCTCCGTTCCAGAGCAAAGGAAGTCGCTACCTGTCTCGATGTTTCTCTCTTCCGGTCGGAGGGAGCCGCGAAGAGCAACCCCACAAAGCAGAAAATCGACGACCTCCACGATGATTCTCGTTCGCGGCAGCCACGTGCTCCTTCGATCGTTCGCCCTCGTGAAAACCGCCCCTTTCACTCCATTCCCCCTTCGACGTTTCTTCCTCCTTTCGCCGTTTGCTTTCCCTCGGTATCAATAAACATCAGTCAGCTCTTGGGGATGAATGAAGAAGGCGATGTGCACAGGATCGACTTTGACTTGTTACTCGTATTGTACGAGTGTGCTCACCGTGAGCTCCTATAATGGCCCACGTTATATGCACCGCGCTCTTCCAATCGGTTCTCTTTTTTTCTCTTCTATTTCTCGATCGAATTCTATTATAGAAGATTAACCGATCGTGACGGTTCGATTTGAAAATATTTCCCCGGGTGTAATATCAACGTGGAAATATCAAAGCGGTTGTGCTCCACTGGTGAAATTAATTGCGCGGCGAAATGTATCGCATTACGGATATTTAATGTTTCCCCTGCCACGAATAAGGGGGATTGGTATTTGCAACGATTGAAAAATTTCTGCTCGTTCGATATTAAAAAGCGCGGCAAAACTACCGGCCAAAACTTTGGAATCACCTCCCACTTTTCGATATTAAATCTGCTGCTAACTTTTTATAGATTTAAAGTTTATCTCAATTCTACATTTATCAATTTATCTCATATCGATTGATTCGAACGATAAAAAATTCTCAAAGTTGCTGACTGTTTTCCGGAAATTTTTGTGTAAATTGCAATGCTCAGTGATTCCAAACTTTTCGCCGCTAGTGTATGTGTATATGTAATACTTTCATATACACGCTGAATTTTTGTATTTTTGTTTTCTGGTGCGTACGATACATAAACGCACTTATCGCCTGCTATCACTATGAAAAATCAATCTCGATTGAATTTTTGAAAAAGTATCGCACATTTCTGGCACACGCGTGAAAATTTTACCTTCGTCGCTGACGTTTGTATCGAAATTAATTTCAACAAATCTTTGTGTAAATTGCAATGCTCAGTGATTCCAAACTTTTCGCCGCTAGTGTATGTGTATATGTAATACTTTCATATACACGCTGAATTTTTGTATTTTTGTTTTCTGGTGCGTACGATACATAAACGCACTTATCGCCTGCTATCACTATGAAAAATCAATCTCGATTGAATTTTTGAAAAAGTATCGCACATTTCTGGCACACGCGTGAAAATTTTACCTTCGTCGCTGACGTTTGTATCGAAATTAATTTCAACGAACTGTTCGTCGTTTGCGAAAAAAAATCGTGTCGTAGGTGGAGAACTGATTAAACTTCTCGAACGATTCCGATTTGAGCTGGTCAGGTTGGCTTGTTTGTTCCGTTCGACAGAAATTACCGGTTGGGCGGTAAAGCTGTCGGTACGGTATAATTTTATACGCGCGACGCGTCGTACACGAATATAATCCTTGTTTACAGTCACGTCGCGCCACTGTGCTGGAAATTTCTGCGAGTGTTCCTTACACCCATCGAATGACCGGTAATTCCCGAGAGTAACACAGGCTTTAGTGGAAGAGGCGAGCTCAGGAACTCGTAAAACAACGAAAACTAGCCTTGTACGACAACGTTTACGCGTCTCGTTCGCTAACAACTCAATCTTATTTACGCGTTACCGAGATGGTGAGTTATTTCGAAGACGGAACCACGGTGAAAGAATCGGTAAACGCTTGAAACTTCGTACTTTCGAATTATGTCCATATCTAACCAATTTCCAAGGAAGAATTTAAAGATTCAACTTGTCCCATAATCCTCATTTTAAAAAATGTAATTCTTTTCAAAAATTGATCCGTTTTTTTAAAATAGAAAGAAGCGAATTAGTGAATTTTTATTTATGAATCATTTACACTCAAGGGTATTTTCGTTTTACAAATTCTATTAAATTCCTTCGTCCCATTTGCCCTTTCAGATATCTATATTAATTGACCGACGTTTACTGTAACGCTAATATTCTTCATCCGTTTACCCGGCGTTTCCGGAATAGTATAATTTCAAACGACAATAATTCCCGCTTACCGTTAACCTTCGGCGATTCCTCCGGTCGTAAATTCGACCGGTGCATATTAGGATTGTAAAATAAATTGTTATTGCGGCGCGTTTCGGCCGGTTGTGCATCACCCGGGGATATTTCATTATTTGTACCCAAGTCGTTCGATAGCGCCCGCGCGCTGATGAATGGGATTCGACTTGAGGCAGTAGAATGGCCCATTCATAGTCAGCCGCACGGAATGCAGCTTCGCGTTTAGCTCAAGGAGTTGAAACGGTTGTTCGAATCTGCGGTTCTCTAGCCACCGCGTTGTCTATTTATCTCGGCCATCGTGTTACGGGTTGAATATTCGAAAGAAAAAAAGGTATTGAAATTAATCACAAGGGCTGAACAACATCGTGAAAAGGTAGAGAGAGAGAGAGAGGGGAAAGACCGCCGCGTCACAGACACGTTTGGTACGCTGTCGCAATTTTAAGGAGACAGTGATAAATCGCTGTATAACTTTTCATTATCTCGCATCTAGAGGCACCTTTCAGAGCGTAATTACGTTTGACACGCTCATTACACCGCCAGAGAACGTTGTTTCCACCAACGTCCAGATCCGAAGGCTATAAATCCTGCAGCAGCTAAGAGAAGAGAGGTCAAGCGTTTACCGGAATCGAAGATATCTATCCGGTGTGTTTCGCACCAATTAAGCGTGTACTTCGAACACTTAACTCCCGCAAATGTGTCAACGTGAGATCGAGTAGAGAAGATCGAACTAGTCACGCGAAATTTATTCCTTTGAAGGCGGTTTTTGCGCGGAAATGTTCGACACATGAAAGGGGAGAGAGCGGCAAACATTTTACGTTCGATCGTATTCCCGATGCAGGTTTTAGGGCTTGGAAAAAGAGCCATCGAGTATTCATGAAATCATTTTTCATCGTAACACTACAACATCCCACCGTTTATATTTCCTTCTCGTATTATGTACATATTATATACGTGTACATCGTCGATAACCGTATAAATAAACCACTCCATTGCAGCCTGGTTATTAACACATTCGTGCTTTCCAACAGGAAACCGTTCAAATTCAAACGCACAGCCCGAATTTCACCCCTTTAATTACGCACCTTTATACCTTGCTCCTATTAAATTTTAATTAAACACACGTTCTTCCTGCCGCGTATATATACGCGTAATCCAGCGAGAAGCGTTTCGAAAGCGTGTACTACACGGAGAGAGAGAGAGAGAGTGTAAAGGAATTCCTTCGTTCGTTCAGGCGAGCAACTTTGAATAATACGTTCGCCAAGAAGGACATTCTTTCGTTACGTTCGTCGCATGAATCAGCCGGTACCTGTGGTACACACACACAGTGCCGCACATCTCCGCGTATTCCGGAGGATTTTCAACGTGGGCTACTCAACGAAATATCCAGTCCGCGTCGTATTCACCACCGGTAGGATGTGTACGAATGTGTGCACGGCACGGTGTGTACATATCATGGTAAATGCAGCCAGTGCATAGGCTAGAACAGACCTCTTATGAAACCCATCCGTTCTTCTCTAAATATTTGGGCATTTTCATAAGGGGTAGTTTCTACTAAGCCGGCGCGCCATGATAAACGCGTACTTCTTCGGTAACCCGCGGCTACGTACGTGACTTCCGCGAGAGAAGTCGTGTAATGCGCCTATAAAGTGCAAACGCCGCCGGTCTACTTCCGGTTCGAGTGCGCGGCCACACAGTCGAGATACGTACGTAGCGTAATTTACACGGTCCTGTAGCTATCGGTCGTGTTTTCTACGAGGAATTTCTTTCGATGGAAATAGTGGAAGAAAATAAATCTTTTCTCTGTGTTGAAACGTGTGTTTTTAGATATTTCGTTTTTTTTTTTTTTCATTTATTTTCGTTCGAAACATGTGTGCACACACACGCGCGCACGGTTATTGTAAAAATATTTTCGCGTTTTGTTGAGCTAGCGTGAAGAGTAAGTCGCATTGTTTCGTTCCTGGGAAAAGGGAGTTTCGTTTTGTCGCCCTTGTGTTATTTTTTTAGCGGAGAAGGAACGGAGGAGGCTTTGTTTCAACATAGATAGAAATTTAATTTGCAAGCGTGCAGCACGTTACTTTTTTTCGTCAAATTCGAAAGCATTCGCGGGGGCTTTTGTCGAAAGGAAAACTTTTCCCGGACGCGAACATAGATTTCTATAGTTTTTTAACGTGATTGTCTCTATCGAGTGTTTCCACGTTCCGAACGTCGCTTTATTACTCACCAATTTTTATCGGTCGCGATGCACCGAGGCTTTGCGGTATTGTTATTAGTAAGCCGATGAACAGAGTAACAGCGAACAATCCTCGATCCATTTCAAGAGCCGTAGAGTAGTCTGGAAAATAGAACGATTAATTATAGCACATCTTCCAAGTATCGAAGAAGAGGGAAGCGAATTTCGAAAGACTTTAAAGGGCCATCAGACGATCAATATATGCGGCAAATACAATATGGTCAATATTTATTGACAAACGGCAGTTGCCTCGTACGCTCAATTCGCGATACATTCAGTCTCGAGTTGGCCAATCAAAAGAAAGTTTGTGTAGCTGTTATAATAACATTATCGATGAAAAAAGTCAACCAGCAATTAGCGAATAACTCCTCCATTTTGTAACATTTTTACTTTAAAAAAATTGGAGAATGAAGCTGAAAGTTACATTTACATCCTCAGAAAAAAATTGAAACTTTCAATTGAGCAGTTACATACAAAAAAATTCCCAAAGTTTACCTATTTTTAGACACCCCCCATTTTCCTCGCAAGGACATATTGCAATTCTCTAAATTCTGAATACGTTCCATTAGTAAGTTCACAAATAGCCGTTTACTATTCACCGCACCGCTGCTGTAGATAATAACGATACCAGATTTAACCGGCAATTTCGACGGAAGGAAAGTGTGCTTCGCAGACAAGGGTTGAAAGTTGTCAGCGGAGTTACGTCTCGTCGAACGAAAAGTTCGTAGTTGCAGCCCTAATAGAATTGTTTTTACCGGTAGGAATTCACGTGGAAACGTAGCGGCAGACACAATCGAAATCTCGCGATGAAAATTGATGCCCGCCGTCGAGCCCTCGCAACGATTCGGCGCTTAATGTTTCCCCCGTTCGCAATTTCTCCGAGTGCAACGAGAGTCGAACGAACAGGGGCGATTCTTGTTTCAAACCGTCTGAGCGTCTCCGCTGTTGCACACAGCTTTTAAAGATAAAATTGAAAACCGCAAACGTTTTCACGGCGCGCACACAGGGGAAAATCGGATAGAAAAATGTTCGGTAATCGTGATTCTATTCCTTCCGCGAGATCGATTCTTCTGGCGAAACAAAAGAAGAAGACAATTGTTACACTCCTTTCGCACTTCTATTTTTCACCGGCGATTTATTGTTGCATTTTGCGCGGCTTTGTTGTTCCCTCGCGCGGAGAAATTACAAAGTTGTGCTGTCGTTGGAACGACGAGAATTTTTCTATCCTTTAATTAACGACAGGGCTTTACAGTGCGATTTCACAGTTTTTAAATCTCCTCTGTTTGATTTCCGCGCGGAACACAGGTATACGCGCAATTCATGTTTCAAAGAAACACTGCTTTTCATTGCTTCCGCCCGTTTCTATTAACATTCTTCCCGGTAAATCCCCCAAGCTTCAATTCTTTATAAATTCTAATTAAAAAAACGTCAGAGGGAAACACACCTATGTAATTATTTTAAAAACACTGTACTTGATATGTTGCACAATATAATCCGCGCATTTTCATGGAAAATTCTTAATTAATATGTCAAATTAATTTCGATAAAATTCTGCTTTAGACATATCACACGGCTGAAGAACACAAAGAATGTAAAAAGCATTTGAACTCTATAAATCGGTAATTCACCTTAAAACGATCAGTCAAGCTTCACTTTTACGTCCTGCGTCCTATTCAAGCCGTTAAATCGATCGTTTTGCGTACGAGAACAGACGGACGCAGGACTTGGCGAGTTCGGACAGTGCGAGGTCTGATTCCCGAATTTAAGAGGCATCGAGTAGTTGTCACGTAAATACGCTTTGCGATCGAGCTAGAGCGTAATCGGTGCAATCGAATACGAGATTTTACTAGCATCAATCGCGCCGTATGAAAACGCCTTTGGATCGGTTAGAGTGATTGGGAAGTATTTCGAGTAAATACCTGACCACACGGTGCTTTCGTTCGTTCCTTCTTTGCTTCCTCTTTCATGGACAAGTGTACATCTTTCGTCCTATTTGTTGGGCCTACTTTAATCATTTTTGTCGTCGTTTAATGTTTTCGTTACTACGCAACGTTTTTTTCTTAAATTTATTTATTTAATAGCGACCACACATTTCTACACTATTAGTGTCTTTCATATTATTATCTGTGGAGACAGATTACTTAACTTACATACACAACGAATTTCCTGTATATATGCCAATTATTTCTATCAATTCCCCGCAGGATACTTTTTTACTGTAATACTTGTTTGTGGAAATAAAGTACCTATTATTTTCTTATTTGTACTTTATTTGTTTTTTATATGTTAAACTTCTGTTTGCAGTTTCCAAGGGATTCATGCCAGCCAGTAAACGTTAAATTTTGAGATCCTGAATGAAAACAGACAACCTAATTACCTTCTCTAGCTCCGGTGGTACGAGGAAATTTGAATGAAAGGAATGAAAGAAGCTTTCATATTTTTCAAAAATTCACGCTTTGAAACCATTTAAATTACGTACAAAAATTTCCTCATCCACCATAGCTAGAGAAGATAATTAGATGGTCTGTTTTACCTTGTTCACCCTGTATACCATTGTATAAAATTACCGTTAATTCCTAAAATTCCACAAAGAGAAGACAGTAATTAAATGTAAAAATTTGTCATGCCCCTATAAATTATTCCGCGCTAATAAATAGCTCAAAGTACTCGTTACTGCCTAAATAATAATTGCTCGGTATTTAAAAGCAACAGGTTCCTTCGTTCTTCGCTTCTCTTGAAAATTTCACTGTTTAATACTAAAAACGACGTGATTCGGAGGTTCGCTATTTAAATAGGATGAAAATTTTAATTGGTTCTACTTTTACCTGTTTTCAACCTGCAGTTTGCACTTTGTTCTTGCAATTAACGCACTTACGCACTTCTGCTACATACACGGTGCAACACGAAAACAACGCGGAACACTTTGCGATACGTTTAAAGTACAACTGCGGCGAATTCAGATAAGACTAAGCGTAATTTCATATCTGGAGCGCGGAACGAGGTTATGACACGATATATCCTTGCGTTTGATTGGTTGCAGGGTGGGACTGAAAACAGAGCGGAGGCGAGGTAAATATAAAGCTACACAGGGTGTTCCTCGAGCAGCATGATTATCTAGAATTCCTGAAAGACAGAAAAAGGTCTCCAACGATTAATCAAATTTCTCTGAAATTCCCTACATTATCACCAGACAGCGAATTTCTACGCAAATTCATATTTCTGTAAGTACAATTAAAAAAAAATAGAAATGTCAGAAAGTACTCTGACTCGGAGTAAGGTGGGCGTGAAATTAATTGAACGTGTCTACGTTCTTACAATAGTATACGTTATTCAAAGCCTATATTCGCGTTATCTGAGCGTCGTTCGCAAAAGTATCCTTCGAGGGTCTCGTGAAGAGTGAGGATACGCGTCGTCCTACCGATCCCTGTCCTCCCCCACGCGAACAGGCCCAGGGAAAGACCCAAAGGGGCGGAGTCACCCCCACCGAGCGCGCTGGGCCTAGCTTCAAGATGCTCGCTTCACCGTCTTCGGGACGGATTTTCTCACAGAAGCTAGATAGATAAAAAAATTTTCGGTTTATTTACATATTTTCGCTTATCACGTGCATTCCGTGTATTTTCGCGCCCTCAAATTTTCCCTAAATGCACAAACATCTGGCCTAATTATCACACTCTTCGTATCATCTGTAAAATAAAGACCAAACTGTCTGAAGTTATCAATTTTTCCGAAAAGCTCTTCAGCTTCTTTCCTCGCGTCGCTCTTCTCCATGATTGATTCAAGTTCACGCACTGATTTGACAGCGGAGCACTTTCGGCGCACGCTCGATTACTTCTGCCTAATTTACTCTGTTTGAAACGCGGCCGTCGAATATCGCGCGATCGCTCGTAAATCCCAAGATGGCCAGGATCCACGGTTGGGAAGCTTGGCCTCGTTGCGACCTACTGCCGTGGAATGAAGCGTAATCGGAAGCGGGGCGTGGTGGAATTATAGCGAGACGTAAATTTCAATGTTTTAGCGGGCGAACGTTTCGCGACGGAGAACGACCAATGGTTTTAATGCCGGCCGTTTAACGACGTGATCGCGTGATAACTTTTCCCCTCTCGAAAATAACGAATTGCATCGGTGCGTTCGTTCGTTGGTTAAACGTTGATTTCAGTTTGTGTACGTGATATATACAGAGCGAGGCACAAAAGTGTTCGTACTTCTTCGAGTTTTAATCTTTCAACGCAGCCAACTTCCAACTAAATTGCTCGTTCTGTAGCTGGACACTTGCTGCGCGTGACTTTTGATGTATAAAGATCATTCTAATCGATAATTCGTGAATTTAGCTACGCCACTATATTGATTGAAAATTTTTTTAATTTTCTAATTCACACGGATGAAACGCAAGTAGTTCATTATTTAACCTATTTATTTCTCCATCTACTTTGCTATAGTGAAGATACTGATTAATTAAAGTTAACAATTATCGACGTACGCTATGATTAATTTTGTGATTCACGAGTACGAATGTAACATAGGTAATTCATATTCGTAATGAACCGTGGAACGGAAAACATTTCACGCGGTTTTTAATTAACTAATGAACTGATGATATTCGCGATTAAAAGGTTCGTGTAAGGGGTGATTGCCGCAATTCCTCGGGGATTATGATATATTTATGAAGCGAACCGTCGTATTGAATGAAAGTATTTTAAGATTCCGAGTCAGAGATGTGTTAAAGCAATAATGAAATAACAGTGTGCGTATTTTATATCACATTTTATATCTTAATTTAGATTCTCTCTGATGGTATTTAAACGAATTGTTCGTGAAGCTATAACAGATGAATGTCACATTGAAATTCTGTATCTCCGTGTACCAAAACTGCAGGTAAATTCCTAGGATTCATTCAGGTACACGTTTCACCGAAGCTCAACCCCAAACAGTTGTCATTCACACTCAACGTACGAGAAGTTCGTTCAGTCTCGACGTCGGAGTAGTTCATTCTCCTCCACTGACATCTCGCATGTGAACGAACGATTCGAAATTACCTCTCAAAATTTTAATACGATTAATTACCTTATCAGCGTGAAAGACGAAATGAAATAGTTTCACCTTAA